GGGTCGGTGCTGCCTCAAGGCCTGACTCTGCTTCTCTGGCCCAGGACACCAAGTCAGTGGCTGATGTGGAAGTGTGGGGTACCTTGTTCCCTGTCCTCCGGGATGAGACCAGCCTGCCAAGTAAGAGTGAAATAGGGGTGCCGAGGTGAAGCATTGCTTGTGTTCCTATGGCTGTAAGAATCACGCTGCCCTCTCTGTCTCTCTCTCGTGCTCTAAGATGATCTGCAGGCGCTGAGGACCTGGTTCCAGAGCATGACACTCTTGGAGGCTTGCAGGAAAGCTGCCGACTCCGTTCTGATGCCCAAGGCGCTGCTGGAGTTCAAGTCCTACCTCCAGAAACAGCCTCCACCCTGCCTGGCTGTGGAGAGAGCCACCACTAATGAGCCTGAGGTGCAGCCCTGGCCCCCTGCTTAGCCCTGGTCCGGGGATGGGCCCCCTTGGGGCCGGCGGTGACAGGCACGCAGACCCTCACTGGGACCAGCCTTCCCCACAGGAGGAAGAAGATTCTGAGCATGCCCTGACGGAGGAGGAAATCACAGCTGCTGCGGATGCCTGGGCCCGCGGTGCTGCGGCACTGCCCAAGCCCTGGAAGCAGCAGAAACCTGTGTGAGTCCCAAGATGACACTAGGGCTGGCTGTCCCAGACCTCCGAGGAGCCTGGCAGGGGCTGCCAGACTGATGCCACGTTGTTCTGGGGTGGGATGGCCCCGTTGCTCTTTGTGCCTGCTCTGACTGCCTCTGTCCATGCCAGGCTGCCCGTGGAGGGCATGAGGAATGTCCTGATCACCAGCGCTCTGCCCTACGTGAACAACGTGCCCCACCTTGGCAACATCATTGGCTGCGTTCTCAGTGCTGACACCTTTGCCAGGTGAGACCTGGCTGTGGGAAAGCTCCCTGGGGCTGGGAGATCAGTGGGGGGCAATTGTATTGCCCCCAACATCTTGCAGAGGTGTCACAGGCCCCTGCCTGCAGGTACTGCCGCCTGCGGAACTGGAACACGCTCTATGTGTGTGGCACAGATGAGTATGGCACAGCCACTGAGACCAAGGCGATGGAAGAGGGTCTGACGCCCCAGGAGATCTGCAACAAGTACAACGCCATCCACGCTGACATCTACCGCTGGTTTGACATCTCCTTCGACTACTTCGGCCGCACCACCACGCCGCAGCAGACCATGTGAGTGGCTGCGTCCCCCTGAGGCTCACATGGAAGGACTGGTGCTGGGGAATGTTGTGGGGAACCCTGGCATGCCTGGCTGAGGGTGCTCTCCAGGGTTCCCTGGTTGATGGGGGCTGCCCCCTCCTCTTCCTCTCCTGTCCCAGGATTGCCCAGGACATCTTCCAGCGCCTGCTGGCCCGTGGTTTCCTGCTGCAAGACACGGTGGAGCAGCTGTGCTGTGAGGGCTGCCAGCGGTTCCTGGCCGACCGCTTTGTGGAGGGCACGTGCCCCTTCTGCAGCTACGAGGAGGCCCGGGGGGACCAATGTGATAAATGTGGCAAACTCATCAATGCTGTGGAGCTGAAGGTGGGAAAGGATCCCTCTGGGGACCATCTCACAAATCCCCCTGACCCGCCCCGCTCTGCCTGGGACCCCCAGCCATGTCTTGGGCTTCCTCCAACCCGTGTTTTTCCTCCTGACAGAATCCGCAGTGCAAGCTCTGCAGGGGCGTCCCTGTGGTGAAACCCACCCAGCACCTCTTCCTGGACCTGCCCAAGGTGAGCATCATCCCTGGGGGCGTGGGGAGAGGCCGGGGCACCCCCTGGTACCACTGACCATCCCCACAGCTGGAGGAGCGGCTGGAGCCCTGGCTGGAGCAGTCCTGGGCCACGGGAGACTGGACAGCCAACGCTCGCTACATCACTCGCTCCTGGATCCGGGATGGGCTCAAACCCCGCTGCATCACCCGCGACCTGAAGTGGGGCACGCCTGTGCCCCTTGATGGCTTCCGCGACAAGGTGTGTCCTGTTTGGCCCCGCGGTTGCAGTGTCTGTCCCTAGGTGCACCTCCCTGGGTGTCCCCCACTCATGTATCTCTCTCCCCCCAGGTTTTTTATGTGTGGTTTGATGCTCCCATTGGCTACTTGTCCATTACGGCCAACTACACCGACCAGTGGGAGAGGTGGTGGAAGAACCCACAGCAGGTAGGAGCCTGATGCTGCTGCAGGGTGGAGGTGGGGATGGAGCTGGACACCAGGGCCCACTGATCTCCTCCCGCTACCTGTCAGGTTGAACTCTACAACTTCATGGCCAAGGACAACGTCCCATTCCACAGCGTCATATTCCCCTGCTCGCTCCTGGGCGCTGATGACAACTACACCCTGGTGAACCACCTCATTGCTACAGGTACGGGGGGGACACCAGGGGTCAGGGGCTCTCCACATGCCCCTGCTTTCCCTCAGTACTGGGAACGTTCTGGTCTGTCCTGCACAGCCACAAAACTGCATTTGCCCTCCTTGACTTGGAAGCCCCTTTGGGCTCGGCGTGAGCCTATGAGCGCTCTGACAATGTCTCCCTGTGTTGTGGCACCGTTCCCTGCCTGGGAGAGGGCTGGATCCATGCCTGGGCCCCACGGTGGTGTCTCTCCTGCTCTCTGCAGAGTACCTGAACTATGAGGATGGGAAGTTTTCCAAGAGCCGGGGCGTGGGAGTATTTGGGGACATGGCCAAGGAGACGGGCATCCCTGCGGACATCTGGCGCTTCTACCTGCTGTACCTGCGGCCTGAAGGGCAGGACACTGCATTCTCCTGGAGCGACCTCATGCTGAAGAACAACTCGGAGCTGCTGAACAACCTGGGCAACTTCATCAACAGGTTCTGGGACACCCTGGTGGTGGCAGGGGCTGTCTCTGTCCCCGTGCTGTACTCATGCCTGCTCTGCCTCTGTCCCTAGAGCGGGCATGTTCGTGTGCAAGTTCTTTGGTGGCATTGTCCCCGACATGGTCCTGACCCAGGATGACAAGCGGCTCTTGGCCCGTGTCACCTTGGAGCTGTGCCAGTACCACCAGCTGCTGGAGAAGGTCCGGTGAGTGGCTGAAACCCTGGGGCTGGAGCAGGGCTGAATTGTCATCAGGGTGGGGGGGCAGAGCCCTGGCCTGCAGCAGGCGCTCAGCCCCCCTCCGCCCCCCTTCCCCCAGCATCCGCGATGCCCTGAGGTGTATCCTTAGCATCTCTCGCCACGGCAATCAGTACATCCAGGTGAACGAGCCCTGGAAGCGGATCAAGGGGGATGAAACGGACAGGTAGGGAGAGATAGGGGGGAGGGAGGGGGGTGTAGGGCTGGGAGCTGGTGTTGAGGGAGGATTTCCTGCCCTGCAGGCAGCGTGCAGGCACCGTCACCGGCGTGGCAGTGAACATGGCTTCCATGCTGGCCGTCCTGTTACAGCCCTACATGCCCAGCGTCAGCTTGGCCATCCAGGGGCAGCTCTGCATCCCCCCCGACTGCTTCGTCCTCAGCCACTGCTTCACCTGCACCCTGCCCCCTGGGCATCGCGTGGGCACCGTAGGTGGTGGGGGCCAGGGGGAGGCAGTCTCTGCCCCCCTGGGCAAGCGCATGGGTGGGACTGGGGGTGCTGGCCCTGCAGGGGTGACCCCTCTTCTTCCTGGCTCCAGGTGAGCCCCCTTTTCCAGAAGCTGGAGAACAGCCAGATTGAAGCCCTGCGCAAACGTTTCGGGGGAGGGCAGGTGAGTGGGGGCTGCGGTGCCCCTGCAGCTCCTTGGGCAGCTCCTAGCCCTCTCCACCTCTGCTTTCTGTCCCTCCTCACTTGCTGTTTCTCCTTTCCCAGCCTGAAGACCTTGCTGTAGAGCCCCAGGTAACCTCCTGGCACTGCCTTGGGGGTGCTGCAGAGCAACCTGCCCCTTGCCGGGGGGGCTGGGAGCAGGGCTCACACCTATTTCTGCCCTTCCACAGGCCAAAGAGCCCCCTCCAGCCAAAGAGCACCCTCCCACCCCAGCAACCCGTGTGGCTCCAGGTGACCCCCAGCTGATCCAGGAGC